AAGAAGCAAGTGTAGGCCTCTTTTGTAAATGCAACAAAAAACCCAGTGGCTTCTAGACACAGGGAAATCCCCTGTTTTCTGACCCCTTAAAACAGTTCATCTTTAGCCTGTTTAACAAATGTCTTCTTTTTCATGTTTGCACCCCCCTCACCCCCAAAACTCATGTTGACAAGGGTGATGATGAAAAATAGAGAGGATGTTTGTTTATTTCTCCAAAATATGTCCTCCTCTGCCACCCCACCAGATGTTACTTCCTATTAGTATTGAAACCAAATATGAAAATTTCATAAAACAGAGATCAAAATGACAAACTAGCTATCAGTTGTGAGGTCTCCCACATACAAAGTGGTCAGTAGACTCTTTTCCATTAGAAAAGAGGTAGACCACTTATTACCCTCCAACCTCATCTTTTTCTCCCAATTCACTGAGCGGCTACAATCTGCTGCCCTCTCCTGTTGAATACTCCATAAGCTGCAGGCTGAAGTGGGGGAAATGAGAACAGGGACCCTGGAAAGCACACATGTATGTCGTCCACCAGTTCACCATGTAGCATTTCCCCTACCAACCGTTCTTAATGTCTGAGTCCAGTGGACTACTGTGACATTTGTCAAGGTTTTCAACCAGTTGAATATAGCACCCGTGGATGAAAAGGATACACTCACCATTGTCCAAAGTGCAATTTAAAGTAAGCTCTTCTCTAACGCTCCAGGGAAATTGTAAGTCAAACATCTTTTTAGACTTCAGAGCAAAAAGAGTAGCATTTACATCTCAAATAAAGAGTCCATTTAGTCTTTCATTCACTCACTCATTGACAACCTATGTCAAGTGTTGTTTTGGGTCAGGTTTTGGGGAAACAGATGCTGAGACAGAGATCTGTGTGCCGAAGTTAATAGACGAGTACTCTCGGTGACAAGAAGGAAGCAAGATGGGGAATCAGTAGAGGCTGGACTGAGGTGCAGTTACAAAATATCTCAGCTGATCCTGATCCCTTGGGGAGCTTCAGAGTTGCTCCACCTCAAGGCAAGGGAAAAGGACCTTGAGACCCCCTCATGGATGCCCTATGGAGGAATTATGACCCTGGGTAAACCATTCTCTTCTACTGAGGACAAGTATAAAAATTAGAAGTTCCCGGATGGAATGTTACGAGCAAAGGGGAAAAAATCAAAAAACAAAAAATTTGAAAGACAAAATATTTTGTTTTGGAGGTTTCTTTTACTTTTATTTTTTTAAGACAGGGTCTCACTTTGTCACCCAGATTGCGGTATGGTGGTGTGATCATGTCTCACTGCAGCCTCAACCTCCTGGGTTCAAGCAACCCTTCCACCTCAGCCTCCCAAGTGTCTGGGGCTACAGGCATGCACCACCGCGCTCAGCTAATGTTTGTATTTTTTGTAGAGATGGGGGTCTCACTATGTGGCCCAGGTTGGTCTTGAACTCCTGGCCTCAGATGATCCTCACACCTCAGTCTCCCAAAATGCTAGGATTACAGGCATGAGCCACTGTGCCCAGCCAACAAAATATCTGAAAGACATTTTTGATGAGTAAGACTTTTCCTACCCAAACTATCATCAAATTTATCAGAATATTAACACTAATTTCAATTAGAACCAGTAAGTAGTGTTTCCTTTAAATTTTCCAAGCATTGCAGACTGATCTCGGTTTTCTAAACATAAACCTACTAATATTTTGCTGTGTGCCCCTGGAAAAACTAAATTACATCTATCTCAATTTGTCCAATTAATGAAAATTAACTACCAAAATTGTTTGTATGTACATTGTCTCCCCCACTAGATTATATTCTCCTAAAAAACAAGGAATTTATGTTTTTTATTTGAGCATGTCTCAAAGTAGTGCATACTAGATGTTGTATAGGTGACAAGATGAATGGGTGGATAGAAAGAAGGTTGGATACATATGGATGGACATATGTATAGATAGATGGGTGGGTGAATGGATGAATGGGTGGGTGAATGGATGAATGGGTGGGTGGAGAGATGGATGGGTGGTTGGGTGGATGGATGAGTATATGCATGTATAGATAGATGGTTGGCTGAAAGAATAGGTGATGGACGGATGGATGGATGGATAGATGGATCGATGGATAGATGGATGGATAGATGGATGGATAGATGGATGGGTGAATGGATGGATAGGTGGATAGATGGATGGATGGATGGATGGATGGATGGATGGATGGATGGATGGATGGATGGATGGATAAATGGATGGCTGGCTGGCTGGATGGATGGATGGAGAGCTGGATGGATGTATGGGGAATGAGTGGGAAGGTCATACATGAGTGAGTGGGGTGGATGGATGGATAAATGGATGGGTGGATGGATGGGTGGATGAATAGATTTGTATTTGTGAGTGGGTGGATGAAAAGATGGGTGGATGGGTGGGTGGACAGATATATGGATTTAAAAAATGAGTATATATATGAATGAATGAATTCATTCCCTGACAACAATTATAAATTGATGTCAGCATTAGAAATATAATATTCCCAAAGGTTGAGCAAAAATTGTCTAATTGTATTTATCTAATAAACTAGAAAAGTAAAAATAAGGATGACATCACTACACAGGGACATTTTACAGTATTTCTCTCACCCATCCTCCCTCTAAAAACCTTTGTAACTAGTTGATTTACCAGTACTACCCACTTGTGGTAAAACAATTTTTGTCACCAACACATCACTCACACTTCTCTACCATCAAGATAATACATGTGGTCCCCAAAATGTTCCACCAGGAGGTGTTTTGGGGGCAGTTAACTAAGAGGGGGCTTCCAGACAGGTGGAGGAGTTGATATACATGAGGTCACAGATCTACTCCCTCTCCCCCTTCAAAAGAAACTAGTCGGCTCCATTCGTCTCAGAATCTAGAGGAAGTTGACGAAGGTGCCACAGCAGCACAGCACAGTATGTGGTGGGGAGTTTTCAGCTTGCTGGCTTGGTTCCCCTTACAAGGTAAGGACTTAGAGTCATTATTTTTGTTGTTGCTCAGCTGACCTAATGTTTTGCCAATCTACCTATCAGCCAGTCAACTGCATTTACAGAGGAGCTGCTATAGAAGACAACCCAGGTAACTGCTCATACTTTCCAAGCCATGCTCAAATCATGCATCTGAGGGATGTTACTGCATTTATTTGATCTCTTGTTCAATGGCTAAAGAGTATAGAAAGGATCACTATAGTGTGTGTCTCTGTGGGTCCTCTGTTATGGCAAGATGTAACAAGCTTATTAGGTTCTGTCTTTCAAGGGTATACCAGTTGAGAGAGCATCCACGTTGAATTTTAAAATTTCCTTGCTGTATAAATCTTAACCAAATGACTTAATCTCTTTGAAACTCAGTTTCTGCATCTTAAAATAAAAATGATAAAAACGTTCGATCCACCAAACTCCCTGGATTGTTAGAAGGATCAAATTTCAAACGTGAAAGCACTTTGAAAATGATACAGTGCTGTACAACACTTACCTAGCTCAGAGGTAATAATGAGAGCAATGAAAACTTCATGTTTATTTTTAAAGAGTAAGTTATATTTTACATTTTACTGTAATTTTCAAATTTGGGTTTTAGTGCTTAATCCTAATGTAGCATTATGAAAATTAAGGATAGAAACAGTTACTTTTTTGAAGCTGGTCAAATTATTTTCTACCCCAAAGAGTGGGGGCAGGGGTGTAGGAAGGGACTCCTGTTGTCCTTCAGTCTCTGCAGTTGTATCAGATTCATGCAAAGGACATCACTCATAAATCCACTCAAAAACGTTGCTTTTTGTGTGTTTGTTTCCAAATACTGAATCTGTAGTTCTGTTTCATGAAATGCACCTATCCTTCCAAATCAACATTTAATCTAGAATGGCATCTGAAGGACGCTACTTTAAAAAACTCGATTTCCTATTTTACATGGTACTTCAATTCCCTATTTCATATACTTCAATTAATGCCTTCTTTTTTTGGTCCCTGTACCCTGAGGCACTTAATAAGGATTCAATTTTGGTAATGAATAATATTATTTTCTTCAATAAGTGGCTTAAAGAATAGCTAATACATTCAGAAAGAGTACATTTAGATAGCTAAAATTAGGAAGATTTCAATTTTTCTAGAGTTTATAGCCTTTAAGTGACCTTAACTTTTTTAGGCTTTGAGTTATTGCCTCATAAAAAAAAACTCATAAAAATACATTTTTTAAAAAATAGCAAAACTTATGTTTCAAGGTAAGCCTTAATTACTTAAATATTATTTATATAGAGAGGAAAAATATTTATTGTTTCACACACAGTGTTGAGTATTCTATGTTAATTACACTTAATCATAGCGGAAGTACTGAAGTAGGTACTAATATCCCCAATTTAAAGATGAGAAAAGAAGTTAATGTAACCTGCCCAAGTTTTCAAGCTAGAATATGACAACATAAATATCAGCCTATAAAGCACACAGTAAAAGTATTTATTTCATGAAACTTTTCATTAGTGTGTGTGTGT